CACCTGAACGCTCACATCCTTTTAATTATGTTTGAAATTATGAACATTGCTCAACATCATGAAAATTAAACCTTATTTTCAATAAGCAATCCTGAAAAATATTTGGGGGTGCTTAACTTTTTTCCAGGTGTATATATATACGATCATCGAAGTTTAGAACCAGTTTCAATACCCTGATTCTTGAATACATACGACATTCACAGCTAGAAACCAGACCCTAGAATATTAACGGTCGTCACAGCTGAGGTGCAATTAAACTTATCTTATTAGTTCAATGTTACATTTATACAGAAGATCTTTCCACTTGGGAAGTAACTTCTAGTACTTTGACAAATTTGCAAAGAATGGCGGCTCGTTATAACTCCTGACAAACAGCACAAACTTCATATGCTTTCTAGCGGATAATTAAGGACATTAATGTAATTAGGTGTATTATATTACTATTAATTATTAATGAAACTTTTTTCATTCTTTAACTTCTAGTTTTTCACTGTATGATCAGCTCGGGTACAATGATTGTCAATTGATTCAATAATACACATGTTATGAAATGTTTCGTTTCGGTATTGGATAGTCTTTTTTTTTTTTTGCATAAGTATCATCCAAAAATTATTTCATGTTTTAAGGTAAAATTGATATACAGAAATACTGTAACTAAATATGATTTCGAGCCTCACGTAACATCCTGCTTGGGTTTCGTTAGTTTTAAAATGTGCATATGCAACCTTGAAACCAGATATATTTCAGTCTGTTGAAATACTTGTTTTTAAAATATTACTGAATTTTCTCTGCTGGTTTTGAAACTTATTGTTAATTTGACATAAACATCACGTATGTTACTGATTATCAACATTAATGAATGGATTTTAACTGTAATAGCCACACAAGTTTTATTTTATGTATTTTTATTATACAATAAAACACGAGGTTTAAATTTTGAAGCAAAGTAATTATATAAAGTACGATCCATGTGTTTGTAAAAACTATAATTCAAGATGAACATGTATAACAAATCTTGAATCCTTTGTATTTTACCAAACTGTCTTTTTTTGGTCTCCTAACGGCTTTCAACTAAAATACAAAGAAACGTTCAAACGGTCACTAAAATATTTTTTTAGAGATTAATATTCTCTTTTACAATGCAATTCCTAAAGGAAAAATTTTGAAAAAAAAAGGATTTATTGAATCCGTTGAAAAATAGAACTACAGATATAAAGATGCTTACTTACTAGAAGGGGACAATTTTCCAGATATTTAAGATGATTCCTATATATATAAATTAACTCTTAATTTCAAATTTAGTTTCTCCAACATACAACTTTCCATGAATAATTAAAAAAAATTGGTGAAAAGAAAGGATTCGAGTTGATGTTATATATATACATAATATACCACTTTACAAATTTCTAAGGTGTCATGATTTTCATATTTTAACGAAATTTGAGTACTCTACTTTTATTATCCATTCCTTTTTGCAGAAAGCAAGTTATACGTAGTTTCAGCGATGTACTTTTAAGCTGAACACAGCTAGCCTAGAAGCTCGCCTGGCTCAACTCACGAACTGTCCACTTGTATGATGCACAAATTAATACCTTTGGGACCCTGTGTCCATCATGATACACAGTTGCAATTCTGAAAGACACAAATAAGTGAAATGGACGGGTCTGCCTTATCATATATATGTGTATATTAAGAAAGAAGCAGGCATTTTCCATCAACTAAATACAAATTTAGTAAAACATCAAATTGGATTTTTAATTCAGTGAAATTGCTTCTTCGACTTTATATTTTAACGGAAAATGTTGTTATAAATCTAAATTAGTTTTACTTTCTAATCAGTAAATAACTTAAGCGAGTAGTTGTGTTACGTTACTAATATACTTATACAAATATGATATCTTACAGCAAGGACCAAACTGTCAAGTCATGAGTGAGTTTCAGTCGACAAATGGTTCTACTATTGAGACTCCTGCAGCTCGGAATGGAACAACAGAAGTATCTGGAGAGACGAACAGCTCCCTCCATGTTATTGTAGTATCATTAGTACTTGGCTTGCTGATTCTTGCTACTGTAATTGGAAACCTATTCGTAATTGCCGCTATATTGCTAGAGAGACATCTTAGGTCCATCGGCAACTATTTAGTGCTATCATTGGCTGTCGCTGACCTCATGGTGGCTTGTCTGGTTATGCCTCTCAGTGCTGTGTACGAGGTCACTCACGAGTGGGTTTTGGGTTCGGTTTTGTGCGAAGTGTGGACATCTTGTGATGTACTCTGCTGTACAGCCTCCATTCTCCATTTACTTGCTATTGCCGTTGACAGATACTGGGCTGTTACCCGAGTAGACTATGTCCGCCAAAGGAGCTCGCACCGAATAGGTCTGATGATATTTCTAGTGTGGGGGGTGGCCGTTATTGTATCAGTAGCGCCTGTGCTGGGGTGGAAAGATGCGGATTTCCTGAAACGAGTACAAGAGGAGAGAAGGTGTCTTGTAAGTCAGGACTTGGCTTACCAAATTTTTGCTACTTGCTCGAGTTTTTATGTGCCTCTCATAATCATTCTGTTTCTCTATTGGAAGATATTTCAAGTAGCGAGGAAACGGATTCGACATAAACCAGGAGCCAAAGCGCTTCTTATTGTTCGGAAAACAACAACCAGCACCACAGACCCCTCGGTTGTCCTATCTGTTTCTGGGGGTGACGAAGAAAATCCTAACGGTGTAAGCGCGACTCATAGTGGGATAAATAGGCTTGTAGCTCTTGCGAAAAGAGACAAAAATCGAAGTCGAGAAACGTTGGAGACGAGACGTGAGCGAAAAGCTGCCAAAACATTGGCAATCATCACTGGCGTTTTTGTCATCTGTTGGCTGCCATTCTTCGTGATGGCAATTGTGATGCCAATGTGTAGTTCCTGTGAACCAGATAAAATATTCTTCAGTTTTCTCTTGTGGTTAGGCTATATCAACTCCATGTTGAATCCGATCATTTACACCATATTCAGCCCTGATTTTCGTGGTGCTTTCCGCCGGATTCTTTGTGGAGAAGATCTGTCACCGACTCCGAGGCTTACTTAATAATAAGCGTAAGTCTGGAACACGCCAAAACGTTACTTTTGTGAAGATCTATTTGGAATATCAATATTTCCTTAATATCAAAAGTAAATATGGAACACGTGAAAAAGTTGCATTGGGGAATATCTATAAAGGAATACTGTGATTTACTTAACAACAAGAGCAAGTTTGGAACACACCAAAACGTTGCGCTTATGAAGGTTTATAAGTAGTATCGAGGTCCACTTAATAACAAAAGAAGGAATGGAACAAACCAAAACTTTGTGTTTATGAAACGCTATAAATGATATCGAGATTTACTTAATAACAAGAGCAAGCTTAAAACACACCAAAACGTTGTGTTTATGAAGCACTATAAATAATACCGAGGTTTACTTAATAACAAGATCAAGCTTAAAACACACCAAAACGTTGTGTTTATGAAGCACTATAAATAATACCGAGGTTTACTTAATAAATAAACTTAAGTAAAACACACCATAACATTATTTCGCTCAAACGTCATCCTTGATAGATATCAAGAAAATCAGTAGAAGTGCTAGTTTTTCTGTGCTTACTGTATTTTCAAAGTTACCTATATTAGTGCTATGTATCATATTTGTGTTAGTACTTACGTGTATCATATTTTATCATACTTCATCAGATAATATACTTAGACAAGCTTGAGAAGAAATCAAACATAAACGTTTTCAAGTTCAAGGATTGTGCTTAATGTTAAGCGTTCGTTATTGACAAGCGTTTCCAATCTGAAATTTCTCCACATTGTTTTTACTTTTTGGCATAAACATATCAGGAATAATTAGTGGACAGACAGCATACGCGTGAACATTAATAATCCTTATCTGTTTTGTCTTTTATCATCCATTGTGCTATAATAACAACGTGTCATTTCACCTTAGAGAAAATGCTTTATGGATGGTGCTAATATAGGGGAAAATGCTCAGTTTAGCGCACTGGGAAATCGATACCTTTCGAAAAAAAAAACATCATCAGATATAACACAACATATTATGTTTCAGCGTACACACTACCTAATGTTTATAACCTAATTTTCAATGCTAGATAAAGTGATGCATATTTATACATACACACATATACGTCATTCATCGTCATCACGAACGATGGAATAAACATCAAACTCCTTATAATATTGTTGGTATTTGTAAGAATATCCAATACAGTGTACTGTGTTTCTCACACGCTAGTCTCACAATACAATACATCCAGGTTGCAGTTGGAACCTATAGCGGTATATATATATATACTCAGTTATGCATATAAATTAAATTGGTTCTTATAAAATAAAACGGTTTTATATTTATTTAAAAGTGAAAAAAAGTTTCAATAACTTGGTATGTTTCACGATATCGCTTATGGTTGACGTTTTAATAAAGGTATTAAATAAGAGTAATATGAATATCGTGGGTATATATACATAACTGTATGTTCACATTCATTTTGACAAGACATTTGTTATTTTGTTATATTTGTCTAGTGCTTCCAGATATAGATATGTGTGTGTGTGTGTGTGAGTTCACTTGGTTGTTGAATTTTTTAAAGTTTTTTTTTAATCCCCGTCAACAAATGGCACTGTTTTTTTTCTTCTTGCACATTTATCTCAATTATTTTTTCGTAATATTAATATGATATCAAATTTTGTATGTGTGTGTATATATATATATATGTATATC